GAATACATATCAACCAGTTTAAGAAACTCCCAGAGGTGCAATCGAATCTCTGTGCCATTCCCAAATCCCACTCTTTATTATGTCCCCCTCACATTTATTATCTGGATTTGGCTTTGTAGTCCATTACAAGTTTTATACATTTGATCTATATAAAATGATAAAAACAAATATATTATCTTACACATTTTTAAACACAATATCCTAGTGTACCTTCCATAACTTGCTTTTCTCAACATTTTTGTAGTATGTTTCTATATGAAGCTCTGAATTATGAGTTCTCAAAAGTTCTATGCTATGCAATAGAACAATCCACACCATGTGCATTCATTCTTCATTGCCAGATATTTAGATTGGCTTAAGGTTTTTTGACATTTCTAGTACCTTCAATGGAATTTATTTCCTTTTTCCTCCATAAAGTCCCAGTGAGGAAAAAAGTTACTGCACATGGGCAGGATTTTCTTTTCTTGGCTTTCCTCCTCATTTTCCTCATTTTTTACTTTGCTTTTTCATCAACGGAGATGCTTTCAGGGCCTGAAACACTCGTCAGAACCCTGATCCTCCATATTTTACTGTTGGAAAAGAACTAAAAAGTCTTCCCAAGTGCTTAATTTATACCTAGGAGAGCTGCAACTTCAGTTCCTGGGTATTTCCTTTGGGTATTATTTTGGGAAACAGGAGGCAAGCGCTCACTTTTCTAGGTAAAAGTCTGGGAAGACAGGTATCTGTATTCAGAATCAGTACAGCTTTTGCTAGGTAGGCAAGTTAGCACCACACAACATGAAGACAAAGATGAAGATAAGTTTCTACAGTTCAGTGAGCAAGACTGGGGTATTCTTTTAGTAAGAGAACTGCTTGGAAATTTATTTGGCTAAAAAGACTGGGCATTTTACAAATTTTCCTAAGAACCCATTATTCTAAGAAACAACAATTTTATTTCCTTCACAGTCTTCTCTTAATCTATAAATCAGAGTTCAATTCCATGTAGTCCTACAAGCTAATGAATGGAGATTTGTTGCTACAATGAGTGGCTGATAAGGCATCTGTGATACATGTTTTCTAGTCAGTCTGTGTAGAAGAAATGTTTGTTCTCTGATTCAGTCACAATGCACACAAATGAAAATTGAATTAAATTAATATACACTGTTAGGTTATACCAAAACTAGGGATAAAAAATCTTAGTATCTCATTAGCCACATTATAGATTATAAGAACACTTATATTTTTAACTTTATTCTGAGTAATTTCATTTTGTACTGTGGTGTTTTAACAACTCAGATTTAATTTTTTTTTTTTTAAATTTTTTAGTTGTAGTTGGACACAATGACTGTGCTGAGGATCCGACCCAGGGCCCCACACATGCTAGGTGAGTGCTCTATCTTTGAGCCACAACCCCAGCCCTCAGATTTAGTTTTCAACTGGATGTTTTTTGATTTCTGACATCTCTATTCTAGGAGCCTGTTATCTGTATTCTGATGCTTTACTGATATATGAGGGGATCTCCTGCCTACCAGTTACATGCATACTTAAAAAAAATATATTAGTGTGCTCAAGTAGAGCTTAAAACTCATCCTTTCCAGAAAACCTTCCTTGGCTAGACACCTTAGGTAAGTAAGGTTTGAAGAATCTTAAAATCTTTTTGTTTTGTTTTTGATGGTGGTGGAGGGGGAGGGGTTTACCATGGATAGAACTCAGGGGCATTCAACCACTGAACCACATTCCCAGCCCTAGTTTGTATTTTATTTAGAGACAGGGTTGCTTAGCGCCTTGCTTTTTGCTGAGGCTGGCTTTGAACTCACAATCCTGCCACTGGGATTACAGGTGTGCACCACTGTAACTAGAACCACCTTGAATCTTAAAATAAACATGTCCTTCAATGTATTATTTGTGTCTCTACTTCCTAAGTAGATTCAAAGTGAGCTAAAAAACTGACTCCCTCAACCAGCAAGCTGACTTACCCATTCCCTGCAATGTGCCTTATGAGTTCCAGCCTTTTCCATATATGTTGTGATGAGGAAAAGACTGGAAAATGCTGCTACAGGTCAATGACAAATTTAGACTCCTTTAAGAAACAGTTTCATATTTTCATAACTTTATAATTCCTAGAATAGTCCTTTGGATATAGTCTGATTAATCTTAAATGACATGACATTGAATTCTGTTATCTACAAGACCTTAAAAGTTTAATTGGCCCTTTTAAGTTTAATTGGTAAATACTTGTATATTCTTCAATAGCTAGCACTCCTGGCCAATCATACAGTAAAGCTTTTGCATAATACCCAAAATGTGCAATTTGCAGATGACAAAACAAAAAGTGTATCTTTAAAAAGCTCTCAGTTTTTCAAGTACCAAAATTTAGACGATTTTGTGATTCTGCTTTGAAATAATCCACCATAAGGGAACAGAAAGACACATTCTTCTTGGGATGTTTTATAACATGCATCCATTATAAAGCCTGAGTCAACTGTTGGCTAAATATGCTTTTATATTTTATACTCAATACCTGGCCAATGCTCAGTGTGAAGATCTTTTGAAAGCATCTTCCGTTTTCCAAAGCTTTCAGTGTGGTATTAAAAGTCTAAATAATTTTAAACATAGAAAAGGCTATTAAAATGCTAGAAACACCTGTCTATAGTTATCCTTAACTAACTTACTAAGAATTTCACTTTTTAGGAATTTGTAAGAAATCAGAATTTCCAGGACACATTTCTATTAAAAGGTCTTGTCCCCTAAATTTTAGTTTCCAAAAATCCCAAACAACGAAAAGCCTCATGAACATATATACCACATATTTGCATAACTTATAATAATAAACATTAATGAAACATAGTATATCCAGGTAAAGATGGGAACTGATTTACATTTTTTGACTTCGCAATGGTGTGAAAGCCGTACCCACACAACTAATTTGTTGTTCACTTTTGTACAGGGTTCAATAAACTACAAGGTATTCAGTATTTTAATATAGAACAGGCATGTTTTAGATGACTTTGTTCAAATGTAGACTAGTGGAAGTGTTCTGGCCATGTTTAAGGTAAACCATATTAAGCTATGATGTCTGAAAGGTTAAATGTATTAAATGCATTTGGACTCTCCAACATTTTCAGCTTCTAATGGTTGGTTCATTGAGGCTGTAACCCCACTGTAAGTCAAGGAGCATCTGTATAGTCTGGAAAAATAGCACTCATGTCAGAACACTTATATTTTACAGAATATTTGATTTCAGTATTCAGAAATGATCTCTCCAACCTGAGGCTTTGAGGTTTTCTGCATTCTTATTCTCCTTCGCTCAGTTATTACTCTAATACCTCAAAAATCTCAATCTTAAGCACACCACTATCAATTTCTCTGTTTCTAGTGCCCCAATCTTAACATACCAATAATCCATCAACTGTGCCACATTTTCATTAGCCTTCTTCTCCTTGCAATGTTCTCACTTCCTTGCTTAACCCAATTTAAATTCCATAGGCCATCGCTGGAACTCTGTATCCCTCTTCATGAATTCAGTCACTACTGTCAAAACAGCCTAGGTTGAATTCAATTCAAGCACTCTATGCCTGCTCTTATGCAGCTTTAAACCAATTATCACTCATGGAGGAGTCTTTCATCTTGGCTATCAAACTGTTTCCCAGGCTCATTCTCTCTCCCATTCTTTTAACCCAGAGCATTCTTTTGCTTCCTGTTACCTGCTACATGGTATTTCCCCTTGAAATCTAAAACCAAGCTGCTAACCAGATCCCTGCCCCAAACCCCTACCTGCTCCTTCCAGAATCTTCCCCAATTTCTCAAGCCTCAAACACCCTCATCTATTCTCTTTATTTCATGTTCCACAATCATGCTCTTAGAAAATCTAGCTGTTTCATCTACCACTTCACCACTTCTATAACCACCTCGGTCCACAACAGCAGTCTCTTTCAACAGCACTACTGCAGTAGCCTCCTTCTTGTTCTGCTTCTGCTCCCACACCTCAGCCTATTCAACATAGTAGCCTTTAGGGTTCCTATTAAAACCATATCCCTGAACTTCATTCATCTTTTACTGTAATAAAATGTGCTTCATAGCGTATAAAATGCTAGTCTACTGAGTAACCATTATTTTGGCATGTGTTCTGAATTACTTTTGATAATTCTACCTTTCACATGCAAATCTTAAAAAACAGCTGCTTATTTTCAAGAATGTCTTCCAAATTATAAAACAGCCAAAATAATTGGCCTCCATATAAATCCACAATAATCCAAGTGATACAACCAAGCTTCAATACAGATTTACCTGGTATCTATAGTTCAGAATTGTTTTCAAATTTTTGAGAGTATCTTTTAAAACAAGAGCAGATAATTAATGCTATCAATTCATTATTCCCTGGGCATCCCAATATGCCCAAACTTCTAAACTAAAGAGAAAATTAGCCCCAGATGTCATAATTTCATATTATATTCTCAGTGCTTTCAAAGTCCAAATGATTTTAAAAAGAAATTAAATAACATGCTTTGAGAGAATTTTAAAAAATCTATACAACTCAAGCTAATGAAATATTTTATTATACATAATAAAAGTGGTGTTTTGTTGTTTTTTTTTTAAAAAAAAACATTTCCAGGCCCAGACATCTGTAGGAGTATGTGAAGAATGGATTCCACTCCAGTATAAGCATTAAAACTCTACTGAAAGAACCCATAAATCCACCCAACTCCTTATAGTAAATACTAACACTTACCACAGGCTTAAAATTCCTGTGGTATCAGTAAATCTATTTTTTAAAATATTACAAACATGCTCATGATGCATAGGAAGATGGAAAAACTTAAGACTGCACACTATATGTACTCCCAGATTTTTTAAGTTACAATGAATTGAGAATTACAATATCCAAAGAAAATATTTCAAAATAGTATAGGACTCACTGGTGAATTTGTACTCAAATAAATAGGAAAATTTTCATTTTAATGTCACATTGAATTTCAGTACTTTTCAATCCAAGGAAAAAAAAATAAACTGAGACATGGTCATGAGTTCAGGATTATATATATTACAATTTGCCTTGTTATAATACATTTGTGGCTTTATGATAAAAATAACTCAGGGACATACGGAATTCAAGCTAATTTGCGTAACTGTCACAAGAAAAAAAGCATTAGATGCATTTCTGAAGTAAGTATTCTCATTTAATTTCAGAATCTCAAAATAGCAATAGACCTTGGCCTTGTTTAAAAAAAGTTTAGTTAAACACTAAGCTAGCTAAATAACCTTACTGAAAGGTTTAACACAATTGATATAGAAAATGCTTTTTCTTTAATCTCAATCTTACATAAGTGGAAGAGGTGAGGGGAAGGGAAGGTAGACAATTTCTTTAGCAGCATATATGGCTAAGTCTATCAACCACCTTAAACTAGAATGTCCATTATTGACCCCATTAAAAAGAATTGGGCTAACATCAAAAGTTACCCATTTCATAAGCCAAAAGACAATTTTAGGGTTACAGTAAGTAAAATATTTTTGAAATACTTCAAAAACTTTTAACCATAAACTAGAGTAATCATCTTTTCATTGTAAGAAAGAAAGGAAATAATAACAGAAAGTAAAGGACACTTAAACTAAACTCATTTTCAGCCCTCTTCGAACAAAAAAAAAGAAAAATAATGGTTGATTAGCTAAGCTTTGTGCTCTAACCAAACTAATTAATTACAGTGATTTTAAATGGCAATAGCCCATGTTGACTGGGCAGCTTGACAGTTCTGAATACTTTTGCAACAATTTTTTTTTTTAAAAACGCAAAGACACTAAAATGATCCGGTCATGCAATGTTCATCTTATGCATTCTGCATCTCTTTGCCAATCTTGTAGCTAAGAATCTTGTTCCAATCAATCTTAGTACGTGTAACTGGCAACTGTCGACGTAAGGCTTTGAAAGTAGTGTCCGACATTGTCTGATAATTCTCACTGATGGCAGTCTATGAAAAACAGTAGTCAGAAGTTTAAAACAAATGAAATGAACAAAACAATGTATAACACATTAATGTTTTCATAACAATCTTTATTTAAGCAGCCTATTTCACTGCTTACAGTCAAATAAAAAAATCCCAATATGGTTTTATTAAAAGCTGTTTATAACCATTTACAAGAAGCTTATAATCATTTTAAATAATTTAATTTAAAGAAATGAAATTATAAATTAGATTTAATACTTGTTCTCATTTTAAATCTATTTTATTATTTCATTCAGAACAACTTATGAATGACTGTTTACAAGGGGTAGGAACTTATCTAATTCACAAATTAAATGCTTAAATTCAAGTGTGTAAGTTTAGAAACTGATAAATAATGTAAATGGTGGAGTATAAAATCAAATGTGATCTAAAGCAGATTACAAACAGTTCAAATAGTTTAAGGAACATCTCTTAAAATTAGAAATCTTGGCATACTTGACCCATACTCAGAAATTTCAGTTAGCTAAAGTTGAGGCTTATTATTTTTAAAATTTTACAAATTTTATAAAATTTAATTGAATTTAATTTATTTCCCACTCTTTTTGGCTCTACTTTTACAAGTCTGCCCTTGTACTCAAAGCAAACACACAAGAAGATGACTGTATTTCATATGGTAAAAAAATGAAAAAACTCAGGAGTATGGTTGAAATTAAAATTTCAATGCCATTCATAAGTGAAAATACATTATACTTTTAAAAATCATACCTGGTATTCATTTTCTGCAGCTTCTACAATCTTTATAAATTCTTTTGCTGTCTGCATCTCACTCTGAATAAAAAATATAACAAAAAGTAAATGAAACAGCAATTTAAAACTAAGACACTATTATGTTTAAATATATGCATGGTTAATAAAATATTACAATTTAATAAATAACACAGATGAAGATGGTAACAAGTAAAAGGAAAACTGTATGATCAATTACTCTAAGTCCAAGGGGAACCTGGCAAAAGTATTTTAAAAGTCCACAGAATGAGCCTGGTATCTACATTTAACTTATTAAAATAAGTTAAATCTTAATAATGTACACTGATGAAAATTCAAGTGTAATATTTAAGATGCAATCCAATAGACAACCTTTATAGGTAAGAAATTAGACACAGATTTCTAACTAATGACTATCTTTACCTAAATACTGTTATCTACTAAGCAATGTTTATCGCTAAAATAATATACAAAACTATTAATCTGGAAGTGCATATCTTAAAGTTTAAAGTGAACTTATTTTACCATCTAAATATTTTCTGAAAAAATTTTTAACATGCCAGTATTTGGTTTTGCTTACCTTTTTCCTAATTTTAAAGTCAAGAGAAATCTACATTTTTTAAAAATGTAAAATTCATTGGTACCTTTGTTTATATTTTATGTGTGTGCATGAGTATCTAAATACATTACATAAATATATGTGTGAAAATTAGATAAATTTTTCTCTTTCCTAAAATAATAAAACAAAACCTACATACAATGAAGTGAAAAAAAAAATTACTAAGACTCAGAACCAACATAATAGCCAAGGTAATCACTATGACCAACTCTTATAATCCCATAGTCTACAATTTTCTGAACACATCTCTCTTAGGAAGAATTTTTCCCTAACATCACACTCCCAAAGAAGACAATACCAAGTGCTCTTGTTATGCAAAGAACATGACATGTGGGCTGGGGTTTTGGCTCAGTGGCAGAGCGCTCGCTTCGCAAGCATGAGGCACTGGGTTAGATCCTCAGTACCACATAAAATCTTACAGAAGTTAGGTTTCTTTCCCTAGCAGACTTTGCAACCAGAATAGTACCTAGCACAATTGTAGAAACCATCTAAATACTGTAGAATTTTTTAAAACATACAGCATCTTTGTCTGGGGTAGTATCCACTCTATCCCAGAGTTAAAACTTTCTTAAAATTAAAAATAACTTTTCTTTATTGTTTATTTGCTAATTTTTGTACACTGGAAACTAATGTTTATACTAAAGTGGTATTTTTATATATGAACACAAACATTTATGGACAAATGTCACCTTAATGTTATATTCTCAATATCTTTGGGGTAAAAAAAAAAAAATTCACAAGAAAACAGTTCTATATTCCACAGAAAGAATAACATAACATACAATGCAGTTTAAAAATTAGGGACAGGATCACATACCTAAATGTAAGCACTAACACTATAAAACTCTAGAAGAAAATGAAGCAAACCTTTATGACCTTGGGTTACGCAATGGTTTCTAGTAATATATATCAAAAGCACAAATAATAAAAGAAAAATGAGACTATATACATACTACATTTCTGTTCTGCAAATTATACCACTAAGAAAGTAAAAAGAGTAATATTCCAATGTGTATATATATACCACAGTTTCTTTATCCATTCATCTATCAAAGGGCTTCTAGGATGGTTCCACAGTTAGTTATTGTGAATTGAGCTGCTACAAACATTGATGTGGCTCTGTCACTACAGCATGATGATTTTAAGAACTTTGGGTATAGACTGAGGAGTGGGATAGCTGGGTCAAATGGTGGTTCCATTCCAAGTTTTCTAAAAAATCTCCATACTGCTTTTCAGATTGGTTGCACCAATTTGCAGTACACAATGGAATATTACTCAGCATTAAGAGAATAAGATTATGGTATTTGCAGGTAAATGGATGGGGCTGGAGAATATCATGCTAAGCAAAGTAAGCCAATCCCCAAAAGCCAAAGAGAATGTTCTCTCTGTTAAGTGGATGCTGATCCATAATTGGGGGGGGGGGGCATGAGAAGAATGGAGGAACTTTGGGGAAAGGGGAGGGAGGAGAGAGGATGGGTCATAGAGGCAGGAAAGATGGTCGAATGAGATAGACATCATTACCCTAGGTACACATATGACTACACATATGGTGCAACGCTATATCATATACATCCAAAGAAATGAAAAGTTGTGCTGCATTTGTTTACAATGAATCTAAATGCATTCTGCTGTCATAGATATCTAATTTGAATAAATAAATTAATTAATTAAATAATTTTAATAAGGAAGTAAAAAGAGCTGGGCGTAGTGGGTCCTGCCTGTAATCCCAATGGTTCGGGAGGCTGAGACAGGAGAATCAAAGCCATTCTCAGCAAGGGTGAGGAGCTATGGAACTCAGTGAGAGCCTTTCTCTAAATAAAATACAAAATAGGGCTGGAGATGTGGCTCAGTGGTCTAGTGTCCCTTAGTTCAATCCCTGTTACAAAAAACAAGAAGGAAAAAGACAACACACAAAAGGGTGAAAATGTTTACACAACACATGTCTGATCCCAGATCCGTATCCAGAATATATAGACAGCTGCAACTAAATAATAAAAACAGAAATAACCAGTTAAGAAATGGGCAAAGGAACTAACCAGACATTCTCCAAAGACATACAAATGGTTAGTAAATACATGAAAAAATGTTCAACATCATTAGCCACCAGGAAAATGCAAAGAGAAACCACAATAAGATACTACTTCATACTGACTAGGATAGCTATAATGAAAAAGACAAGTTTTCACCAGGATGTGGAAAAATGGGAATCCTCATACACTGCTTGGAACCGTAAAATGGTGCAGCTACTCAGGAAAAGTCTGGAAAGTCTTCAAAATACTAAATACAGTTACCACACAATCCAACAATTCCACACCTATGTATATACTAAAGAAAAACAAAAAACAAATGTCTATACTAAAAACAGTACACGAATGTTCATAGTAGCAAAAAGTAAAAATATAATAGAAGTGTCTATCAACTGATGAATGGCTAAAAGGTATATACCAGTAATAGGAAAGAATGAAGTATCATCCAACAAGGATGAACACTGAAAATGTGCTAAGTGAAAGAAGCCAGTCACACAATACTGCATATTATTTTATGACTGCATTCATATAAAATGTCCAAAATAGGCAAGTCTGTAAATCAGAAAGTAGATTAGTAGATGCTTAGGGCTGGGCTGGGCTTAGGATTAGGGCTGGGGAGAAAGGGATAGAGGGCTTCTTTATAGGAATATGAAAATGTTCTAAAATTAATTTGCAGTAATTGTTGACTAACTGTTAATCTAAAAGCACTGAATTTTATATTTTAAAAGCATGAATTCAATGGTGTGTGTTGTATCTCAACAAAGCTGCTTAAAAAATGTTAGGTACAGAATTATGATTACCACCTTTAATCTATTTGAAAAACAGAATCAGAAAAGAAAATATTATTAAAATGTTAGTTCTGAAACTCCTCTAGTTTTACAAAAGATATTGTTTTCATTTTCCTGTGAAATTATACTTACAGACACTGTTAGGTAATCTTGTATATCTTTATGACTCACTAGCTGAACGTTACCATCTTCATAATAATGAACCTATTAGAAAAAGAAATTACACACAACACATTATAGGAACCATCAAGATCCTCATGGCTTCAGCAATTATATCAATGTAGACTGAATACATGCCAGCTCTAGTCCAGACTTCTCTGTGGAGCTCCAGACCTTTGGAACTCTAGCAAGACTCTTCCTGTCCTGTCTACATTTTCCTGCATTTAGGCAAGTGAATAATTTCCACTGACCTGTCTGCCAGATACTTTTGCCTCAAAGCTGTTCTAATGGTACCAAAATCCAAGATGTCCAAAATTGAATTCAAATTATTCCCTTCAAAATATTGCTTCTCTTTTAATTATTTACTCATATTAACTAATCCTCAATCAGGCAAGCTTTTTTAATGTTATTATTTAATGAATGAGGAAACAAACAAAAGGAACTTAAATGACTTCCTCATATCATACAAATAATAACTGGCAGATCTGGGGATTCAAACTCATATGATTTTGAATTTCACGCTCTTGGCTTCTATTCTGTTTCCTCAGGCACAGGTCCCAAGACACAAAGGCAATGGGTCTAAGATTAGAAATGTATACTAGAGTCAGACAACAGAGCCGCAATATGATTCATCTTTATTCTTTCACAGCTCTTGGCATAATTACTTTCATGACAGTTGATCAACAAATGTATTGAACAAATTAGTGAACTAAAACAGAAAAAGATCAGCCTGTAATAGTTATCAAATGTTCTATATAAACATTTAAGTTCACATTAAGAGTCAAAGAATTCACTTCTAGTGAACCTCAGGTAAGAAGCCAAATATGATGAGTACAGGAGACATTTATAAAATATATGTAATATGATTATACATTGTAATATATAGTTATATAGCCACAGAAATTTTAATATTATACTTCACCTAACTCCACTAAACTGAGATGACAGAAGAGTACAACTCAAACTCAGAAGACGCTTAGATGAACAAATTGTATGAAGAGCAGACCAAATGGCAGCATCTAATTTTAGCTGTGTTTTAGAATCTGTCAGCTATCCTTGCAGATTTTTCATGACTAGGGAATGAACTGCAAGATTATTTAAAAGATTTAAACAGAACTACTTAGTTTTCTCACTGTGCAAAAAAGAAAAATCTGGAAAAGACATTTGGTATACTATGAAAATGTAAACTCATGAATTAGTTGTTTCTTTGTTCAGAACATGCCAGACATCAGAAACTTGTTGTTTCATACCTGAATTTTCAAGATGCCAACCACCTGAGTGGTTGATGAAGGAGTGATTGTAAACTTCCACTCTGACCTCCAACGACCATTCCTTAAAAATAAAAACAGCAGCTGTAAATAAGGCAGGGAAAATAATTTGAATCAATATTAAGTTTCAGATTTAAATTCAATGCTACAGTGTGAGAGTACTGGGGGATAGGTGCTGGACATTCACTTTTAATCACTGAAATATTCAAAAGAATCAAAAGGTTAAGTTCAGCTATAAGATATTTAATTTAATCTTCACCCTATGATAAAAAAGGACCTACAAAATAAATATCATTTCAGAATTTTAAAGCTAAGACTTGAAATATAATTCAAACTAAATCATATTATGCTATTTCTTGATTAAAAATTTTAACTTGCTTGTTCAACTGAATCACTTATGCTTTAATTATGAATAAAATGAGGGCACACACCTATAATTCCAGAGACCTAGAAGGTTGAGGTAGAAAGAACACAAATTTGGGGCAAAGCTGGGCTATTTAGAGAGTTTCTGTTTCAAAAATTTAATTTTTTTTTTAAAGCTGGGATGTAGCTCAGTGGCAGAGTGCCCCTGGGTTCAATTCCCAGTACTAAGGGAGAGAGAATAAAATAAATAAATGTTACAGTACCAGAGTTTTTCATACATATAAATTAGAGCAGTTTAACATCTCCTAAATTATACAAAGTACCAAATAATTTTTAAGAAGTGACTAGAAAATGTCATACACATTCATAGTAAGAAACAGAAAATGTAAACATGTATACTATCTCTAGCAGTGAATTTCATCTTATTTTTCTGATAGTCTTTTCATAGCAACTCTTTTTTCACCTTTATTTGCTCTTTGCACACACAAGACATTCTGATATGCAAATTAATACCTGTTAGCTTTTTTCTAAAATAGTCACAGTGTTAGTGGATTACCATACTGGATTTTGCTATAAAAATTATTTCTGGGCTCCTTTTAATATTTTTGCAGTTTACCCAATCATAATGTTTGTTGAATGACAGTACTCTCTTACCTAGAGTTAACACCTAACAGTCGAAAGTTTTATATATATATATATATATATATATATATATATTTTAAGTTGTTGATAGACATTTATTTATTCATATGTGGTGCTGAGAATTGAACCCAGTGCCTCACGCATGCCAGGCAAGTGCACTACCGCTGAGCCATAGCACCAGCCCCCACTCCAAAGTTTTATTATAACAATGTATATGTTCTACAAAATAAGAGAATTTTCTTATGTGTCTTGATTTTGAGCAGCACATTCAAGAACATTCAAAGCAGCTTGATAGAAAAAGACCCTAGGTCTGTTCACTTTGTTTCAAGATTCCAAAAGAAGTTATTCTTTTTATTTAGGTATCAATACCAAGCAACTAGTAAGTTCTAAACATATACATTACTAATTATAATGACAAGATACATACATCATTATTGATTATGAAAAGAAAGGGGAAAAAAAAGGAATTCCAGTCCACGTAATAATGGTAACAATTTGAGAACCAGTTCAAAACTCTTCCAGAGACACTGAGAGTGCCCCTTCAGCAATGGAGTAAGTGGCCAAGTCTTTAATATTTTGCACCTCTCTTACAAATATGCATTCTTTCAATAAACATTTATTAAGCCCTAATACCACTAAACACTTAGGAAATAGTAGAGAATAAGGAGAGAAGGTCTCTAGTGAAATCCAAGAAACACCCAAGACTAGTTTCTTCTAATTTTTATTTTACCTACATTTTAGGTAAAATAAAGTTTCTTTGTATCTAAATACCTAGATTCCATGAGATTAATGTGCCATGATATTTAGTACTTTGGAAAACCATAATTTACTTCTCCAAAAAGTGAAAATCACTTTTAACTTCAATGATACAATGCTCATAGTGGTGATTCAGGTAACATCAACAATATGGGGGGCTTGGAGTGGGGGTAAAATAGTGCAAATAAAATGCCAAGAGACATTTTCTTCACTTTGTATATGCAAAAACTCAAGACTTCGTTTCCCCTCTAATTAATAATTTATTACAACATCTTCAACAGATTTTATTAAAGTAAGACAATAACAAGAATTTTCCTTTAACAGTACTTCAATCTCAATAAGATTGATTTTATTATGTATTTCCTGACACAATGTATTAATAATGATTTTGCAAAGCCTTATGCTTTAGGATTCTGCTAGATTAATACTACATGTTTACAGAGCTAAAATAGAGAAACTAGATTTATATCAAGTCCATGAAAGTAATTTTGTATGCCAGTATCTTTAGGAAAGTGCATGTTGTCATTAAGGCATATGTTTACATACAGAAATGATATGGAAATAATTTTCCTTCTGTGATGCTGGATCTGCATTTCTCCAAATATTCTTGATTAATCTTGTAACCTTGCATTTATGTCTGACATAGTTAAGTACGGGGGCACCTTCGGGCCAAGGTCCAAACTAGTCCATTGAGGTTACTGACACTTACCCTCAACAGCACCACCAATGAACTTGGCTAATAAGTTACAGAATAATATACTTAAAAGGTAAACATTATGACTATTTACTCTTATAATTTCAGCATGTATTAATAAAAAAAAGGGAAAAAAGTAAAGACTTCATTCAATTCTGAACTTGTAAAGTCTTGGAGGAAAAACTCAATCCTGGAACAGGGAGTATATCAGAAATAAGTCTAATAATAAAAAAGGTCACCGACTTTTCAAATATCTGAGCTTAACAGGACAAGTAGTACTGTTAGGGGCTAGATTCTATAAGGAATAATTGAATTATTTGTATGCAAAATTACAAGGCATATTTTTGTAATTTTATTTCCCCACACTGGCCAACCAAACACAAAGCAATCCCAATAAAAACATCTGCTTCAGAGGCCCCAGATTCACAACAGAATGGTTCTTCACTTTATAACTGCTTGTCTCCTCCCCACATAAGTTTCATTCAGGAACACCCACTTCACAGAATGAGCATATGGGCCTGCCAATTGGGCTGCTTATACGCACACATGCTCCCTTAGGGTGCTGCCTGCTACTCTCCAAAAACACTATGCTCTCCCACATTCTTTTCACTGAATGTCAACAGATTTACTGCTACCTTTAATGATTAGGTCCTTCGTGGAGCCAGTATAGGCTGAAGTTTTATACCATGTATATACTGTTTTTAGTCAATCATATTCAAAAAGGTACAGCCCAGATCATTAAACCAAGAACTCCCAACAATATAATCAATACCAACATTTCTCCAATTACACAAAATTTTAACTTACCAAAAGTTTTTTGCTTGGAACTGATGGCTTTCTATGCATGCAATAATGGTTTGCTGTCCATCTATTTTTTTACCATACACCTTATGAGGAAAGAAAATAAGAACAAGAGAGAATTTAGGACCACAAAATGCTCAACTTTAAACATGCATAAAATATTTAAAATTGTAAAGCACTTTGGCAAAAACACACAAAAGGATATAAAGTAAGTCCTCATTCTAACATAGTAACTAGAAAAACAAGTTCTCAAAAATGCACACCAAATCAAATTATCAGTGGATCACAAATGAGCTCAAATTTATGGGGCAAAACTAAATGTACTATATTCATAAGTGTCCATTAGATCTATCATGTTTTCATTCCAAACACAGGGATCATAAGAAACTAGATAATACATTTCAACATATAGATACCAATATAGCTATTTCCACAAGTAAAAACTAGACCTAATTTGTGATTATCATTTTTGTTTACTTCACAATCTTAGGGGGTACCACTTCTTGAGTCATTTTTAAAAGTACCGAGATAAGGGTAAGATAAGGGTACTTACAGACAAGAAAGATCATTAAGAGAATGTCTGGGATGTATAATGCTATTATTTCACCTATGCTACTTTCAAAGTAATAATGTGTGTGTTTCAATTCCCCCAGTAAAAATGATGGCTCTCAAACTCAGCCACTCTCTTACTCTTGCTGAGATATTCTTCCAAAATAATTCTAATCAAGTTATGATTCAAAGAATTTTAAATATTATTTTAGTTATGTTGTTTTTCTTAAATAATCATTGACAGTAAATACTTAGGCAGATTATATGAATTCAGTACTAACCAGGAAACTTCTATGAGAGAAATGGGGTGCTACTGGTAATATTAAAAATTATGTTGGGAAAGCAGGTATGAAACACAGCATATGGTCCCTTTAGGTTGAAGAGGCAAACTGAGGCTAAGCCTACTCAGCTCTGTAAGTCATGTTTAGATGCCTAGACTCTATCTTAAATAAAATGGGAAATCTCTATAAAGGATTTCAAGCAGGGGGGTTTCATGATCTGATTTGCATTTAAAAAAAATCACTATAGCTATAGAGAAGATCACTGAAGCACAAACTGGGTGCTTAATAATAGCCTGTCTTGGTACAGTCTTATGAAAGTTCACAAGCAAACAAAAAAGCACTAATTTCTACACATTTCATCCTAAAAACATAAACAGGCTAAACCTATGAAAGAAGCACATCAAAAAGTAAGAAATTTGACTGTAATATACTTGAGGACACGATTCCATTTTCTTTCTTTCTTTTAAATTTTTTTAGTTGTATATGTACATAATACCTTTATTTATTTTTTTGTGGTGCTGAGGATTTAACCCAGTGCCTCACATGTGCTAGGCAAGCACTCTACCACTAAACCACAATCCCAGCCCCATGATTCCACTTTCAATTAATTTTATTTATTCAAAAATTCTGTAAATTAGTGAAAATAAATTTGACTTAATGTAAGTGAGTCATGAACATGAGATTAAAGAATCTCATGTTTAATCAATGTGTTAGAATTTCTATAGGGATTTGATTCGAGGTACAATGCATTTTCTATTTTTCGATATAATAATACAGTAGTTTTTTGGAAAAAATAGTAAAATTCCTAGGAATTGCTACTTCATCACATTTGCGTAAGATAAAATTTAAAAAGCTGCCCACGATGACTTACAGTGCAGACCCCATTTGGGTAATGTTCTTTTACATAAGCTCGCAGAGCAGTTTCTACTGAAGTTCTCCATGATTCAATTGCATTTTCTGCTTCGTAAGGTCTTGGATCAGTTGCTTCCTTTCTTAGGTGATCAAATTTGAAACAGATTCTGTTTTTTGGATCCAAAAACTTTCCATTTCCCAAGTCACCATGTTCTGTTATCAATACCTTCAATAAGGAAATAAATTTAGGAAAAAAGTATTTACTGATACACACTAGTATACATTTGCTTAAAATTTTCCCTTAAAAAACTATAAAACAATTTTACTCGAAGTGACTGGTTTCACACATGGTACAACTGTTAATACTTCAAATTAGTAAACTGTAAAAACAATGTCATTCAGAGTAGATCAGATTGTTCTTCCAACATAACATCTAGCAAAAATATGCATCCTCTAGTATACTGCTGGAATCAAGCTTTTCCTTTGAGAACTAGTTTATTATTTCTGATATCAGACTCCATTTCCTCAAAACTAAGGAACCAGTGATCACCTTCAATCAGGGAGGTTACAAGAAGGGTTGTAGTCCAGTGAAGAAGCTCTTCAGTACATTGTCCTATCCTGTTGTGGGGCCCACAGTCTCACCTGCTCTCATGTATATGCTTCTGCTTCTTATAAACTAATCACTGTGGTTATTTTTAATTAACTTTCAAATTTTTAAAAACATAACTTACCTATTTATGTACATTTAGATTATACATGCACAAATTTAATATTCTGTGTTTTAATTTTTGAAAATTTTCCTTCACTTACAACTTTCCCATTCTTTCACATTTTACCTATGTTAGGACTTCTTCATTCCTGATGCAAATCATGCTAACAGCACAGAATGCATCGTTCTAAAATTTTTCATGATCATGAAATCCTACATACATAAATATATACATGTTTACAAAAGCATACATACATGATTTTTGGTCATTATTTTATAAGAATGAAATAAAAATGTACACACACAAACACACTGCTCTGCATTTGGCTTTTTTAAAAAAAACATAAACATCTTATAGAAATCTTCCAAGTCTGTGATAACACTTCTCACCATTCTTTTTTTCTTTTTGTGGTGCTGGGGATCGAACCCAGGGCCTTACGCATGTGAGGCAAGCACAATGCCAAATGAGCTGTATCCCCAGCCCCTTACCATTCTTTTTAATGATTGTATAATATCCCAATGATGAGGACTTAACAATTTATTCAGCCAATTTCCCACTGATTACCATCATTTTATTTCTAGATATTCTATTTTCTTCTTTTTTTAAATTTTTAGTTGCTGATTGACCTTTATTTATTTACTCATATGTGGTGCTGAACCCAGTGCTTCACACATGCTAGGCAAGTGCTCTACCAACTGAGCCACGACCCTAGTCCAAGATATTCTATTTTCTTAAAGGAGAGAAAGGCCACATTAAAAAATTGTGAAACAAATATTGTTGTGCATATTTTTATGTGCTAATGTTTTTATTTCCACTGGATGTATTTTTTAATTTAAAACTGTGACCAACACATACTAAATGTATATATTTCCTGGGTACAGAGTGATATTTTCAACCGTGTGCAATGATTACATCAGGATAACTGGCATATCTATTACTTCAAGCATTTATCATTGCTATGTGTTGAGAACATTCAAAACCCATCCTCTTAGCTATTTTAATATATATTTAACTACTGTCAACCACAGTTATCTTACTATGCGCTAAGAATATTCTTCTATTGGACAGATTACCAGCAACGGTGGTGAGAAGAGCAGGTAAGGGGTTTATACATTTTTAATAGACATTATCACCATCAATAGGCATTATAGCTCTTTTAGTTGTCTAATAAGTATAATTTTAATTTCATTTTCTGAATGACGGCTGTAGATCTAAACACTGTTTTATCTTTGTGGGCCATGTGCTCTTCTGTAAATAAATATTCTTTAATACTTATCTGGTTTTCTTTTCTCTATATCAGTTTGTAAGAACTGCTTAATGTAGAACACAATTTTTCATATCTCTGGCTCCATTTAGAGTATGCTCTATATGTGTAATAAGAATTTTAATGCATCCTGCTGTCATTTATTTTAAAAAATCAATAAAAAAGAAAAAAACCATTGCTTAATGTATCTGTTTCAGTATACAATTTAAAAAAATTTATATGTTGCAAAATACCCATCTTTGAGTTTTTGAGTTTATAGTCTTATTTAACATGGTCTTCTTCCCTTATATTGCACATGCTGACTTTCAGATCTCCTAACATTTTCATCATTACACAATTTTTTAATCCATTTGAAATTTAACTTTGTATATTGTGTAAGACAGAGGTTCAACTTAACTTTGTTTCTGGCAGAAATCAGTTGTGCTGATATCTGTATAAAACTTTCATATATTCATGTATTAAATTCTGGTTCTCCATGCCACTTTATTGGCTTATTCATCCACTATGTATAAAAACACAGTGACTTGACTTTACACTGGTTTTAAAATATCTTATGCTACCTAGTAAGGCAATTCTCCAATTCTCCTTCATTGTCCTTACTGTTCTCTTGTACATTTTTCTTGATTATTTCAAGCATGTATTTTTTTTCATATAAAATTTTGGAAAATACTAATTAAAAAAAAAACTGATCAGTAGTCTAATGCAAATTGTACCATATTAATTTATTATTAATTTTTAAAAGTTTCTAAGAATGAAATGCCAATGTGCCTTTCTACTGTCCAGATATTAGTTTGTTTTCATGAAAACAACTACTATTTTCTTCACACTACTGTATGTTTCTTGTTAAGTTTATTTCTTAATGTAAAATTCATAACATTATTTTAAGTGAAATTAACTGTCCAATCCCATCTCCACTGTGTAGGTTTAGGTATTTACCTACTGCAACAGAGGACAGCTAATGTACTTTGTATGTAGTACTTACCTTAAATCCAATCATCTCATCAAGGTTTTTTTGGTTGAGGGTTATACTACTACAGACTCTGGGTACCCTTAAACATATCACCATAGAGATTTCTTTTCTAAGCTTTATAAGTTCTGATTCTCTTGTTTTATTTGGTATACCTTAATTTATGATAAATGATAACTGTAATAAGTAGGTATAATTAGTTAATTTTTAATTTTAAATTGTTTAATGTTTATAGTTTATAATATTTACTATTGGTTTCTGTTAAACAACTCTATTTTAACAGGTTTTATTCTATTTCTACTTTTACTTAGGGTTTTTTTTGTTTTGTTTTGGCGAAGATACCAGAGATTTAACTTGGGGCAATTAACAATACAGCCACACCCCCAGCCCTATTCTGTATTTTATTTAGAAACAGGGTCTCACTGAGTTGCCTAATACCTCACTTTTGCTGAGGCTGGCTTTGAACTCATGATCCTTCTGCCTCAGCCTCCTGAGTTGCTGGGATTACTTTTAATAAGAAATGGTTTCTTGGGCTGGGGATGTGGCTCAAGCAGTAACGTGCTCGTTTGGCATGTGCGGGGTGCTGGGTTCGATCCTCAGCACCAAATAAAAATAAAGTAAAGATGTTGTGTCCACTGAAAACTGAAAAAAAATTATATTAAAAAATTATCTCTCTCTTCTCTATCTTAAAAAAAAAAAAAAGAAATGGTTTCTGAGTTTTTCAAATCTTTTTCATTATCTACTGATACCAGATTTTTCTCTGTTAATACATAAGACCAAAACACTGCCTTCCATGGAACCATTCTCACATTCCTAAAAAAAGTATTTAGTTTTGCTATGTTATTCTTTTTGATATATTTCTAGATCCTACATATTCAAAGTTTTAAAATCTCGTCACATGTAAAATTAGTATACAATTAAACTTTTTATATTTTTTAAGTATTAAAATTATGCTATATTTATAAAAAGATTTTGGAAGTTTTCCAGCATTTAAAAAGAATGTACTCTCTATTCTGCAAATTTCCTTTTAGGGATTTATCTCAATAAAAAAAACATATGTCAATGTGACTAGTGGTTCAAAGATTCAAGGCAACAATATTTACAATAGTTAAAAAAAAAGAGGATAAAAAACCAAAACCTCCAGAGAATTTAGGCAATTGATATAATAAAGTAAATATGGAGTTATACATTTGTGTAATCACACATGTACATTTTTACACAAGCTTAAGTTTCTCTTCAGTTACAGGCATTCTCCATCTCACTTTCCCCCTGAAACTATGAGACTATGTATTATATAATGAATAATATCAAACACAAACTCTCACATAATTAGCCACTTAAGGGCTTTCTTTTATCTTCCTTCTTAACCACTTATCTTATATTCTATCATTTCCTTCCTCATATGGTTTTGTATAAATTGTATTTCGCATAGGCATGACATGATTCAACACTATAATCATCACTAAATTATTAGTAATTCTAAAAAAAAACTAGTGACCTTTTGTGGCTTTTCTTAACTTAATTCTAACTTGCATTTTCAAATAAAAACATTTAATAATTACTAAATGCTAAATTACTCACATGAAGAACTGTAGATTTCTAGAGCAACCAAATTATGACATAAAAATCTTATTAATACATATTCTAGATTTTGGATTAATAAAGGATTGATATTTTTTCTATAAAAAACAAGAAAGTAGATTTAAAACAATTATTTTCTAAAATCTTAAATGCATTACAACTAAGTATTTCTAAAAGGAACTGTCTGCTAATATTAGTCTCAAAAAAAAAAAAAACAGAAGTTAATTTTAAATTATTTTGTCAATAAGTGCCTATGATTAAAATGAATATTTTATTTTATCTTTAAGCATACACCACTTTATAATTCTCACATGTCACTGGAGTTGTTTAAACCAAACAAGGATTAGCCAGATTCCATGTTTATATTAAACATACCTGATCTTCATAACCTTCAATTTTTACTGGAGTAAACTGGTCCAAGTTATACTGTGCAAATGCACTAAAAAAGAAAAAGAGCCAATTATTTAAAATTACGTATCTAATGCTTCTTAAAATGACAGTTAAACAATTCACCTCTCAATAAAATTCTGCTACATGGCAAGATTAATACAATTATAATTCTCTATTATAAATATTAACTAACTAGAAATATATCATAGATACAGCTATTTTAAAAACTGCTATCCAGCTTCCAATGTTAGCAACATAAAATTATATCAGGGGGCTGGAGTTGTAGCTCAGTGGTAGAGTGCTTGTCTCGCACATGTGAGGCACTGGGTTAGATCCTCAGCACCACATAAAAATAAATGAATAAATAAATATATTATGTCCATCTACAACTAAAAAAATATTTTTAAAAATTACATCAGAAAGTATAACTGGCCTTTTCATTAAAAATCCTGAAAGTAAAGATTAGCTATCTATAAAATACATAGCTACTTATTCAAGTACTGTATATATTTAAAAAACCAGGAAACGAACTACAGATTGTGAAAATCAGCACCAAAGGGTTTTCAATTAAATAAGAGAGATAACAGATGAACATACCGGTAACACAAAGTAGAAAGTACCATAAGAGAATTACCAATAATGCTCTGTAAAATGGTGTGTGTAATTTTAACATTCTGTTAACACAAGAGTAAGAAGACAATTGGGACAATGTCACAGTGAATGTGATACTGACAAATGGGCTTGAAATAATTGGGTCTGTCCCATTTTGTAGATGTTGGAGGGATGGGTAAGAAAAGAGTATTTCAATTAGTGGGACCAGTATGAGCAAAATGCCTAGAAGCCAATCAGGTTCAACATCATAGGATTTTTAACACCACAGAAAACACCAACCTCAGAGCACTAGGCACAGAGCAGGCCTTCAGTGACATTTACTAAACTGAAGTGCCTTGAATGGATGATGGAATGATTATTTGGGAGGCAAAGCAGCATCACAGAAATTTTTTGAGAAAGAAAAACACAGAAGTTCTTCTGAAGATTAATCTGGCAGTAGTGTGTATGATGAATTGGGCAGTAGAGCAACTACAGCTGGAAAGAGCAGTTAGGTTTTCCCAGACGTCCATGTTAGAAGTGCAGAGGATGAGCAAGGAAATGGTGACCATCTGAATTCAACATTAAAGTCTCTATCTCTACTCTCATACAAAGAAAGAATAATACATTATCAGATAATTTTGTCATACATAGGAAAAACTTAATAGTATGAAAAATAATCCAAAAAATGATATAAAGATCATACTTATTTTGAGGGCTTGGGGATATAGCTCAGTTGGTAGAATGCTTGCCTAGCATGCACAAGTCTCTGGGTTCAATCCCCAGAATCTCCCTACCCCCGCCAAAAAAGATCATATTTATTCCATTAAATCTAAGATATTGAGAATTTTAAAATTTATGAATGCCTCTCAAAAGTTTTTTAGCCAATTATTCACTGTATTAGCTCTTAAGCCTCCCCTAGAAAGAACTGTTTAACTGAGCAAAGCACTACTGATAAGTTAACAAAGAGACTAGTAAATATAAAAATAGCAACCCAGAATTAAATTAGTAACTATCAAATACCTGATATTTCATGTCGAAAAAAGATGGGGGTAAATATATAAGTGCATGGAGAAGGAGGGAGAAGGAAGTTGTTCACCTCTTATTTTCTTAATTCTGTAAATCTGTAATTTTCCTAAGAATTGCCTCAACGTAGCCAAGCAATTACTAATTACTGCCCATAACATCAAATTCCATCCACCTCTAACTTGGGGGGAGTGGGTAAAGGAAAAAAAGGGAAACTAGTATTAGAAATAATGAATATGAAATAAGTAGAATTATATCTTACACGCATAAAGCAAATTAAATTATGACAATTATGCTACAATGCAAAATGTACTCACTAATCTAATAGAATTTCTGGGTTTTGTTCCAATCCTACCATTAGCTAAAATGGGCCCCATCATCTATAACAGCAATTATCATTATCTTAGACTAGATGACTTCCAAAGTCTCTCTGTTGAGAAAACTCCATGTACCCATTCATCATTCACTCAGTAGCCCCTACAACCATGCAAATATTTACTGAGCTCTTATTACTATGTGCTAAGCATTCTACTAGACATAGTGACAACAAAGGTCTCCCAGCTCTTCCTATAGTTTACATCCTTTGCTATTATTCATCAGACCACATCTGATACTTTCCCTCAGCTTAGCTACACCATTTTCCTTATCTAATATTAAAATCTTATTTTAAAACATCTTTAAATAAAACTTGAAAAATTTCTTTATCTCTATAAGCCTTTGATATGCCTCTATTATTATATTTTATTTAACTTGGACTGTTATTAGACATATCTGACTCTGGAAAAATCTCTGAAAGGCTTATTTATCTTATCATCACAGTGAAGTCTGGCATTCTTTTGTCTTTGAATAAAAGGCTATTTCAGGGTGTTTCAAAGTATTCTAGATTTGACAGTAGTAAGTCTAATTTTACTTTGAATCACAGAGAGTTTGTGCCCTTTAGTAAAGATGTCCTGTTAGAATCACTCTAAAGAATAACAGCCTTGTTTCCTTCCCTCACAAAAAGATAAAGAGAGGGAAAAGGAAAAAAAGATTAAAAGAGATGAAGTCCAAAGATGACGCCATTAGGATTAGAATTGCCCACTTCTTTGAATCATGCAAAAATTCAGTAAACATTTATGTGTTAGAGACTATTTTCAGTATTTATAGATGAATAAAATAAACTCCCAAACCTCATAGATATAGAAATCTACTAGGGTCAAACATATAATAAAATTAAATATACATAAAAATTAAGGCAATTACCATTTCAAAAATAATTTACCAAATTTTGCAAATGTCAAAATGTAGTAGCAAATGATTTATATAAGACCACTGGCCAAACATACCATAAATACAGAATTTTATATTATAGTTGAGTCTCTAAGTCCCTTTGTGATCAAAAATATTTCTCCTAGAGTCTAGTACATACATATTGCACATGTTTGAACTTGATGTACAAACACCAATGTCAGGGATTAGTGCTTAAAAATCACTTTTAAAACATCTTTTCTTTCTCCAAGTCACTTTAGTTATGTTACTATAATATGAAATACTTACTGGGCTGCTCCTTCCCTGAGAAGATTATCATTATTAAGCAGTAACCGAACATCTATAAAACAAACATTATGTTTTTTATATTATTATGTTTTGTTTGAAAACTATAAGGAATGCAGATAGTTTTAGTTATGTGTTAACACCCCCACCAATAGAAAGCAAGATCAAATATCACTGTAATGACCAAAAATATTCACAAAATACACACCGTAGTATTTTAACAAAATAAAACATTTTTCTTAGGAAATAGAAGAAGGAATTAAATAGAAATACATACAATTTTGTACTCTTTTAATAGTTGATACAGGAAGTTTGGAACGTATTATCAAAGAACTAAAGTAGTGATAAGCTACATCAGAAAAGTGGTGTGATAAGATCTGCAGAAAAGACAGGACTATGCCTCTTAACTTGACAACACAACAATCAGTTTCAAATAAATTTTCTCTATTAAAAAAAAAAGTGATTAAGTAACAGTTTGTGACCAGAGTCCAGATGCAGATATTTCTGTTCTTTTATAGCTAATGTTCAAGGAACAAATGAATAATTATATTTTCTTTGACTAGTAAGTCAAATCATTAGATTTCCCTTTAACTGGTTCTTAAGTCAGTCCTAATTTTAGACTCAACTATTATTACATAGACATTTGGCTTTTAATCATTAAAATATAAATTCAAAAATAATATTTTTATTAGGAAAATCCAAGCACTTCATAAAACATTAAAGAAAAATCATACGGTTTCACCAAAAACAAAAAGCCTTCTAGTCTAGCCTTGGTATATTTTCTTTCATTATTTTTCTCAAGTACTTGGCTCTTACATAGTTGCTATTTTAAAGTGCATAAAACAATGTATCTTAATTTTTTCATTAAATGAAAATACAAAGAAATAACATATTTCACATTAAGAAACTGGTTAAATAAAAGATGAACAGGCTATAGTTATACACATTGTAAAACTGGGCAGCCATTAAGATGCTGCATAAAAAATTTAAAATACAGACATTTACAATTATGTATATTTTTATCCCAAAAAGCAAACTGAGAAGTTCTATTCAATATGATTTTATGTTCAATATTTTAAACATAATACTTTACAACAGTGATATCTCATGATAGTTATGTCTTTTCTAGTTTTAGTGGGAAAATAATTTAAAAGTAGAAATCTATTCAATCCAGTTAGTTGTACTTTGAAAAAAAAAAAAAAAAAAAGAGCATGTTTTTAATGAGGAGAGTATAGAAGAAAGGAAAACCTAACAAGAATTAAAATAAAATAAAATTTTACTCTTAAGGAAGGAATTAGGCTATAATTCTAAGCCAGGCTACCCATTAGAACCACAGGGTAGTGGGTAGAGTCTTTAAAAAAATAGTCAAAATAAATAATAAAATAAAGATTTTGGAGCCCAAGCCCAGACCTACCAATCAGTTTTTAAGAATGAAAGAAGACCAGAAATCTATCTTTCTATTATTCTAACGTAACAAGCCTAAGGAAAAAGCATTTTGGAACTGAACTGATATTTATTACTTCATAATTCTAAAATTGTTTGCTTCTCTTGGAATCATTCTGATTCCACATTTTCAATGAAAATAAACAAATTGATACAAGACTTCTCCTTTAAAGTTAATTTCTTTTTAACTTTAAAATATCCCCTAAGTTAAAATTTATTAGATAATTCTATATCTTACTTCTACTTCACAGCTCACTCTCCACTCTAGACCTATTTAATGCCTCATCCTAAATGCCTAAATTTATGGGAACTCAACACAGACATATCAATTCAATGTCAATTTCAAATGAGGCTTAGAAAAGTAATTCTCAGAACTCATAAGTTCTTTTAGGACCTTCCTGATTAAAAAATATGTAGGGTCTTTAATTCAAGATAAGAACAGTATTTGACAAATCTTTCTTAAAATTATAATTTATTCTTGACTCTGAACTATAGGGGAGTTTGTGAGCTACTGACTTCAGTACAGTTTCACCATTATCTACTGAAGTCTCTCCTCTGCTTAGGTTCAAATGTGGCCTATAACTTTAACTCAGGAGCAGACTGTTTAAAAATGTAGCTCAAAAGCCATGTGTAAATTCACCTTTAAGACATGGTGAAAAGGCCAAAATATATATAAAGTGTATGTAGAAAGCATTTATATAAAGTAGGAATAATAGCATATTTATAATACTTGCTGCAACTTTCTCTTTTAACTGCGTAAGTAAAGTTTTGTGGGCTGGGGATGTGCCTCAGTGGTTCAGCATTTGCCAAGCCCACACAAAGCCTGGATTTGATCCCTAGCACCGCAAAAAAAAAAAAAGAAAAAGTTTTGCAAGGAGCTCTCTGTAGGCCATTATTCTGGTGATTCTTACAATCTTGTCATTCTTACTGCTAAAGAGCAGCTGCTATCAAAGTCTGTATAGCAACCAGAAGATTATCTAGACTTTTAAACTTGTGATCCATAGGTAAATAATTATGAAAATGTTTGCTAATGAAGTCTAAAGAAAGGGATACTGTGAAATGATTTATAATATACAATTAAAATAACAAAACTTTTGACTTGTGCTACCATCTTCTATGCATGATGAAAATGGCTCCCCACCCCCTTTTTACTGGCTGTTTGTATTGCTCTAATAGGTTTTTCTCAAAAAGAAATACAAAACTGTACTCCATAATTTAAAAAAAAAATTTAAAATGAAAAATTCTATTGTCTTTCTTCCTTAAATGATCTATTCAAAGAACATTTATTGTGTGTCTTTATAGTTTTACTTAAAAACAATTTACCAAAAAAGATGTTCCTTTCCCAGAATAAGGTTATATTCTACTCAGTAACTAGTATAAAGTTTATTTTATCCTTTAAAAAGGGTTAATATGTTCAAACAAAATTATCACATATATCATATGTACATTATATCTAGCCATTAAAAAATTCAGATTAACAAAACTTCATTGTAAATCAGAAAACAGACTTTTCTACACTATCTTTAGCTTATTTTGGTGATTATGCTTAAAAAAAGATAGAAAAACAGCGCTTTTTTTATATATCAAGACTTAATGTTACAAGTTAAACACTCACCATTAAAAACTTCATTAAATTCTCCAGGAGGGGCATGAATGATGAATTTTGCTGCTATACGTACCTAAAATAAAAGTGAAGATATAAATATACCATAGCACACATCTCTGCTGAAATGACCCAAAATCATACAAAATTATACAACTTTAAAGTTTTACTGAAAATGATAAGAAGATTTTCACAGTGATACTTCTCCACCCAAACACTTTAAAAGTAATTTCCTATTACTGTTTTAATTATCTAATATACAACCACAACATAGGCTGAATGTAGATAAAATAATTCAGTGAAGTTAAGGATTAAAAGATGCCAACAGATAAACATTTTCTTACAGTTGATTTTATTTCTTTTTAAACTAAAGTGAAAAAAAAAAAACAAGAAAATCTTTATGTGTAAAGAAATGCGCATTATGTATGCTAAAGAAATCTAACATACCTATGGATCTATAAAATCACAAATTCATGAAAATATGGAGAGAAATCAGGGAAGAAGGTTTAACAAAAAGTTTAATATGAGACCTGACAAGTTCTCAGGAAATTCTAGTTCAAAGATAAATAAGAAAAAATTTCAACAGGTGTACTGACAGGCCTATTTTAAAAGAATAAAGCCAATTTTGACAAAGAGTTTAAAACTTAACGAAAATGCTTCTGAGATGTTAAAGGACATGCCAACATTACCGTTTAGTGAAGGAGCTTATTATATAAAGACTGTGAAGGAGTAAAATCAAGGCAACTAGAATAGCCAAAACAATTTTGAAAAAGAACAAAACTGAGAACCATAATACAAGCATCAAGATAGTTTGGGTTTAATGAAAGGAGAGACAATTAACAGAAAAGAATTCAAAGTCCAAAAATATGTACATCTATATGCAGTGAAATGATTGCTGATAAAGGTGGAAAAGCAATTTACTGGAGGAAGGACATATTTTCAACAAATGATATTGGGATAATTAGATATTCGTGAGCAGAAGAAAAAACCTCAACCTAAACTTCACATTTTATACAAAAATTAACTTTAAGTGGATCATAGTTTTAAATGTAAAACAGAATTAAAATAAATGAAAAAAAATACAACCTGAAAAAATCTTAGTGATCTAATAATCTTAGTAAAAAAATTTTAGACATAATGCCCAAATTGTGGTTTACTAAAAAAACTGATAAGCAAGAATTCACTAAAATTAAAAACTTTTGCTCTGTCAAGGACTTGCACTATTGAAAGAATGAAAAAACAAGCTGCAAATTGAAAAAAAAGTATAGGTACAGCATTCTTAATCTGAAAATCTGAAAAAATTTTGTATTTTCTATAAAATAGTTATTTTATACATATATATGTATAATAATATAAATGTTATATAAAATGGTAATCCATCATGGATAATTACTACATGATACTACATGATGATTACTACATAATCAAATGGGGTTTATCCCAGGAAATTAAGGGTAATCTTGCAACTTAAAATATATTTTATATAAACTATATATGATATTTCTTACAAAGGTAAGCACATACCATAAGACACAATGATCAATCCCACTCCAAGTATTGTTGCAAGTCATGGGCTGTGTGTGTGAGCTGGGCACATTTGAGCATATGAGGGGACTGGTCTGGCATTACATGCTTTGGGGGCTGTGCGACACATGTGTGCCTTTCCTCTTGCTCTGCCTGTTATCCCACACAGCACCTGAGATGGATGTGGCTTTCCAAATGTTAATCAACCTGCTGACCATAAGACATCACCAAGCAAGACTCCACCCTCCAAAACCCAATCCCTTGCCTTATTTGGGTGGGAAATTCTATGAATGGCTTCTCTCCAATAGGGGGGTTTCAGGTGTGCTCTCTCTCTCTCTTGCCTCTTGTCTCCCTTACTCCCCTTTCCTTCTAGCATGGGAGCTGAAACCTGAGGTCTCAGAGCTATCCCTGAACCCCCAAAAAGGTATTTCTCTGTTTGTGTGGTTTTTAGTTGCCAGCCCGGAAGCTGGCGACAAAGTATCTTCCCTACAGAATTAAAAGCTCACATTCATGCAAAAATTTACTCATAATTGCTCAAAACTAGAAACATCTTATAATCCAAATATCCATAAAATGGGTAAATGTACCAATTTACTGGTACATCTACACAACAGAATACTACTTAATAATAACAGGGAACTATTAATACTTGCAACAACTGGAATGAATCTCACAAGCATTGTGCTGAGTGAAATAAACCAATCTCAAAAGGTTATGTAGTCATAGCATAGGATTCCATTTTTATAATAATTTCAAATAAACAATATTACAGATACTTCTCAACTTACAATGGGGGTATGCCTTACAATGGGGGTATCATTTTAGATAGCACTTTTTGTGGAATAGCATAGACCACAAGTGATAATAAAGTATTTTGGAAATAAAAGATATATTCAAAGTAATATCATAAATATTAGTAAACCATATGAGCACTAAGAAAAAAATAATTTCTGCCTATCAGATGTCTGAGGTTACACTAAAGTATTACAAAAGTTATTACTCAAACTTTTGGGGGGTGATTTTTCTTACTAAATTTTAAAACAACAACAAAAAAGAGCATTCTACAATTCATGCAATAAATCAGTGATAGTAAAAGTAACCTATAGAATAAAATAAGAATCTGTGAGTCAATACTGACCTAATAAAATAAATGAGCAAATAGGGGAAATAGAAGGCTCTTCATTACAACAGAATGCCAATTAACAATTGTAGAAGGAATGTATGAATAAGAAAATCACTTTGAGTAACCAACCACCTTAGTAATTCTGGTAGGCCAAAATCAATGGATGCCAAATTTGTAGGCAAAATTATAAAACTACAACAGGATATTTACATGGTTTGTAAGCATCTTTCAATGTGTTAACTACAAAGGAATAAATACTAATTTTATATTGAGGTGTACTGCAACCACACCTTTACAAAGTAATGAAAGGTATCAATAGTAATAAGAAAATCAGACATTATTTGCTTTCTGAGAGATACACAGAGAACACATCAATTCTGTGAAACTCCTGCAGAAAATTCATAGACTGAATCTAATCAGGAAACATCAAACAAATCAAAATGAGGGGCAGTCTACAAAATAACTAGTCTGAACTCTTCAAAAGAGTTAAGGTCACAAAAGACAAACAATGCTGAAAAACTGCTCCAGATTAAAGACGAGAGACAATACACAAAATTCAATTAGATTCTGGTTTGAGTTCTATATCAAAAGAGGAGGAGGAGAGGGGAAAAAAAATGAAAGGAAGAAAAAGAAAACATTACTAATTATAGTGATAATAGGATCTGTAGATTTATATAATAGTATTGTCTAAATGTTTAAATTCTCAAAAGTTTAATAACTGTCCTGTAGTTATATAAAATAATGCCCTAAACAATAAAGTATTTAGAGATTAGGGAAAACATTTTTTCTTCAGAAGCTGTGTAGGTTTTCTCCTTAAATTTTTCTAACTTTAGGGCTGGGGTTGTGGCTCAAGTGGTAGAGTGCTAGCCTAGCACATGTGAGGCACTGGGTTCGATCCTCAGTGCCATATTAAAATAAAAGAAAGATATTGTATCCACCTAAAACTAAAAAGTAAATATTTTTTAAAACTTTTTTTTTCTAACTTTAAACACGTGGACAAATAAAACACTCTAGTACTAATTTGTTAAAATAACCTGTTCTCCCCCATTTGATTAAAAAAAAAATCTCATATATTCAGCACTATTTTCAAAACGTGTTACTTTTTTTTCAGTCAGGAATATGAAAAGCACATTACTTTTTTTTTTTTTTTGATGGTGCTAGGGATTGAACCCAAGGCCTTGTGCATGCTAGGCAAAAACTATTACCAACTGAACTATACCCCCAGCCCTTACTACAGTTTAATAAATTTCGAAAAATCTTTCTGAAAACCATCTAAAGAATTTAATGGTCATCATTCAGGTAGCAAATCTAGAATGTTTCTTCCTCAAGTAAATTCTATTTCAATTATATGAGCAGAATAGACACTGAAGAAGAGATCTAGAGCTGGGCGTGGTGGCACACACCTGCAATCCCAGCAGCTCGGGAGGCTGAGACAGGAGGATCATGAATTCAAAGCCAGCCTCAGCAATGGCGACGCACTAAGCAACTAAGTGAGACCCTGTCTCTAAATAACAAACTAGGGCTGGGGATGTGGCTCAATGGTTCAGTAGCCCCAGGTTCAATCCTCGTTACCAAAAAGAAAAAAAAAAAAAAAAAAGAGAGAGAGAAAGAGACAGACAGACACTATCACAGTATTTAGTAGAGGTCTTGATGAACACTAAGAAAATATCAATGTAAGTAATGTGAAAGCAAGTTAATATTCTATTTCTCTTTTCCAAAACTTATTTAAAAACTTTCATCAGTTACCTCAGTAAGTAAGGAATAATTCATATTTATGCACAAAAATTCTAGTAGGGTTATTTAGGCACTGCTGTAATTCTCAATGAGCCATTGTCTCTTTAAAACCAAGTCAAGCAAATTTGGATAACAGGATTCTAATTATCTGAGTTCTGGTAAATCAAAATATGATCCTATCACTTTTGTTTAAAAACTATTTCAATCAATTTAAGATTTTGGAGACTTAGAAACAAATTATTTTCATATATAGAGTATATAATAATGACTTTGTGTATTCACTTTACTGAGACAAATGGGTGATTTTTTTCATATTTCATTTTTGTTTAATTTCCTTTTTAAAAAATTGGCTAACTTTCCAGCCCTTTTGCTTCCAGATTCCTCAAAGTTTAGCACTGATTCAGTCTGGGAAGAAAAAGAAAAACAGAGAGTGAGAACCCAGTGTCACATCTCAGGGCTTAGCCTGATGCCTTGCAAATAGCAAAGTCTCAAAACACAATCTCCCTTGGAGACAGGTAACGTATTGCTTCTGTCCCATGCTCAGCAGTTAGTAATTATGACCATGTGTTGTAAAAAAAACAGTATTTCAATGTAATGAACATTTTCAGAGTTATCACTACTGGAATTCTGTGTGCACACTATTCATTTTCAAATAACCTATATTCAAAAGTGCAAAACCTTATACTAATATAAAG